GGAGGACAGAGACGTCAGGCAGGAGGACAGAGACGTGAGGGTGGAGGACAGAGACGTGAGGGTGTTTTACCTGCAGATCCAGTTCAGGTCGGATCTTGTCCTCCCAGTCTTTGACTCGTCGAGACAGAGCCGTCTCCTGAGTGTAACCTTGACAGTTCACCACCAGCTGCTCCTGAACACGAGATTCAGAAGTTTTATCAGTTTGACTTCAGACACACGTCATCTGTTCATCGTTTAATATTTAGAATAATTCACATCAGACAGTTCGTCTCCACCAATCAGAGCCCTGTCAGTTTACATGTGAGGTCAGTGTGACCTTTGAACCTAAGTAAGCGTTTGCATCAAATTTGAAGAAATTCCGGACAAGCTGACAATATGAATCTTGTCCAGCAGGTGGCGCTGGTGCAGAGAAATGAGACATTTCTTTTCATTTGAACCGTTCATTGATCCTGAGATCTGAAATCAGTCAACAAGTGTCCAGAACTTTCTGTTTCTCGTGGTTTTATTGGCGACTGTGTGGATCACGTACCACACGAAGCTTCACCAGGTCTTCATAACTCAGCTCGTCTCTCTGAGCGTCTGCAGAGAAACAACACACGGCGTCATCACGGGTCACATGACGTCTATATAAACAGGAAGTAAACACATTCTCTGTTTTTAATTGTGAAATGTTTTAATCGTCTTTAACGTTTTACCTGCTGCTATGACGTCCACGCCTCCGTCGCACTCAGCGGGAACGTCGTCAGGAAACGCTTCATGTTCGTTGTCTGAGTTGTCGTCGTCTCCACCTTTTAAATATTCAACGAATGACTGTGACATTCGTCCACCACGTGTTCTCTGAGTGTGTGTGATCGTTAATTCAATAAAACATCATCTCTGACTGTAGAAGTTTACCCAGCAGGTCCGGGTGTCTGAAGCCGTGAACAGGCTCCTCCCCCTGTTGATCTGGCCCCGCCTCCTCCAGCTGCAGGAACGTCCTCCGCAGCTCCTCGTCTGAGACTGCAACACCCTGATGACATCACACCATTGACCACGCCATCTTCGTACATGATGAATGGAAAGAATCTGAATGAAGAGTGAAGCCGTACAAACTCACAGTTCGTCTGTAGATTCTTCTCTGAGTCTTCACTTTGTCTTTCACTGTGTTCACATAGATGTAGTTCAAGTCTGTGAAAACCAAGCCACATGTAAACACAACATACAGTTTACATACATGTGATTGTATTTGAACATGTGTCACGTTTACAGCCACGTTGATGTAACATGTGTTCATTTCATATGTTTCTTTGGATGAATCACAGACACAACTTCTGATATGAGTTCATATTTGAATTATTATTTTTTTTTTTTAAACT